CAGAGGTTACACTGCTGTCACCGCTCTATCACAGAGGTTGGTCTACACTGCTGTGAGATCGGTAGGCCCGAGCGAGCTCTGGAAAGAGAAATGCAGATAGATTTTCTTATCAACTGACTCCCTGGTCAGGCTTTGATGGGTGCTAGATGAGAGTGAGAGGTGGTGAGCGTAGGGCTGCACCACTCTCGTCGAATACCGGACAAATACGCCAATCACACAAGAGATCTAGAATGCTTCCAGAATGATTCTGGAAGCCCTTCTACGTCCTAGAAAAGTCGCAAGTGCAACCTAGGTCTAGAACGCTTCCAGAAGGTTTCCAGAAGCTACATACGTTCTACGTAGATATGCTGGTCGACCTTGGACTAGCATGCTTCCGGAATATTTCTAGAACAAGAGAACACATGCTCAGTCTCGCCTGCCAAATTATCTCCGCTACAACTCTGTGCTCATGTTCTCTGCTAAGTACCATCTCTTCTTTCTGTATTATGTCTACGGAAGGCTAGTTGCCGAAGTCGCACCTATGGTAAACTGTGCCTGACTACGTTGTAACAGTTTTCCTCGACGCGACCTCTCGATTAGGCAAGTAGCCGATGTTCCAATAAAAAAGAAAAGAATAAAAAATCTTCACTTCGCTGCCAATTTTTGTGACCCCTCAATTCCCAATTCATATCAAAGAATATCGACCTCCTTATGAGTGAATCCATCCTGCGAGCAAAACACGCGTTCGAAACATTCAACCATACTATGCGATTTTGTGCTTAATATCTCCTAGCACTTGTAATCCTTGACGAGGTGCATGATGGTGGCGAACTGCTGCTTCGGGAGATGTTTCGTCGCGATGTCCGCCAACATCGTGGCACTAGGTTGGTGGTGAAGAGTGATCCGGTGCCCTTTCGTGAGTTCCCTGAGGAAGAAGAACCGGAGCGCGATGTGCTTGGTTCTAGAGCTGAACATCGCGTTGCTGGCCACAGTCAATGCTCCGGTGCTGTCGCTGTTGATGGGTACCGATCGAAAGGTCTTGAATCCGATTTCCGTCATGAAGTTGGAGATGTAGACTGCCTCGCGAGCACTGAAGCTCAGCGCTTGAAGTTCGGCCTCCACGGTGTTCTGTGCTGCGAGAGTATGTGCCTTGGTTCCGTAGCTGATCAGTCCCCGTCCTAGGAAGAACAGGTATCCGTTGGTAGACCTACCGTTGTCTGGGTTGGCTCCAGATGACGAGTCAGTGAAGCACGAGAGTCTGAATTGCCCCTTCTTGTACACGATCGGCAGGTCCGGCGTTCCGCGTAGGTACCGTAGTAGGTGCTTGGCCGCAGCCATGTGGACCTGTGCTGGGTTTGCGCATGCCCGTGTCAGTTGGTGCACTGCGTATGACAGATCGTAGCGGGTGCATTGGGCAAGGTACAGGGGACTCCCGGTGATGGCCTGGCACCTCTGCTTGTCCTCGGGTCCGAGTAGTTGGTCTTGTGGCTGCTCGGTTGATAGCTCTGCTCCATACCCGAAGGTGCTGACCGGGTTTGCCTGTTCCTTTCCGTATCGCTGTAGGATATCTCTCGCGTAGGGTCCTTGCGATATGGCTAGTGTGCCATGTTCGTAGTCCCGCTGGACTTCGATGCCGATTACGCGCTTGATCTCTCCCATGCCTGTCATTTCGAAGCTGTCCATGAGTTTCTTCTTTTTCCTGCTTACGATCTCCTTGTTTCCGCCCGTGATGAGGATGTCATCGACGTAGATCGCGAGGATTGTGAGTTCGTCCCCGCTTACGAAGATGTAGACACAGGGGTCAGAGCGAGTGCGCTGCCAGCCGAAGATGATGAGTCTGTCATTGATGGCGTCGTTCCACAGTGACGGGGACTGTGACAGGCCGTACAGACTTTTATCCAGTTTGTAGATCATTTCACCTGTCGTGGGGTCCCTCTCCTCGTCGCTTGGCGCCGGCCTCACGTAAGCGACTCTGTCGGTGTACGCGTTCAGGAATGCAGCTACCACGTTCAATTCGTACACCTCCTATCCGTGTTCCCAAGCGATGGCGAATAGCATGCGGATGCTACCCAATCGGGTGACTGGAGCGTAGTTCCTTCCGCAGTGTCGTCCTGCCAGTTGGCGGTGTCCCCCGGCGACTAAGCGGGCCTTGAAGCGGCTATCGGTCTTGATCTTGAACACGAAGCGTGTGTCGAAGATGCTCTCATCCTTCGGTACCAGTCTGATGCGTACTTTCTTGTAGACTTTGTGCTTGGCAAGATTACCTATCTCGGTGTCGATAGCGCTCTTCCACTGCTCGCGTTGTGGTGAGTTCATGGCTTCGGTGTACGTGCTCGGAGTTTTGATCTCTTGGTTTGTCTCCCCCAAGAACCCTTTGCTCGAGGTGCCTGTGGCGTAAGCATACGCCCGGGATTCGGCGAAGGGGTTTTCATCCAGGTGAGCAAAATCCGCCGCGTCGGTAGGGCATCGTTGCTGCGCTTGGTAGGTGAGATCGAGTAGTTGATCCTCGGTGAGCTCCAGTGGGCCGGGGTGGCTGACAGCCATGGTAGGGCGGCCTCTGTCGTTCATGTTCACTTCCAAAGATTTCGGGATGCATGAAGGGTCGATAGGGTCATCTGTGGGTTGGTGAGTGCGCGTGGCAGGACGGGTCACCGTTAATCGACGCATTGAGATGGGGGCTGGCGAAGCGGAGTCCGTGTCTGTTGGCGTCGTGGGTGATTCGAGTGTCGTGTCCTGCGATGTCCTGGATGGTGTCGTAGTCCGCGAGTTGTCATTGCTGTCATCTCCCCCAGCAGCAAAGTAGTCGTCGGAATCCGTGCCCGCGTTGTTTTGCCGAAGTTCTGCTCGGTCGATGTTGTCTTGCATTTTGCGTATCTCGTGCAGTAGGAGCTCTGAATGTGTTCCGTAGTAACCATTGTTGTCTTCGTCGCCCGTAGAGGTACCGCGTCCGAGCAATGACGTGAAGTTCATCACATCTTGTTCATATCCGAGACGGTCTTCCCACCGGTGAGGGGGGATGGTGTTGGGTGGAGTCTCGATGAAAGTCACGTTCCGGCTCTCGTAGACCTTGTCTTTGCCCTCCACGTAGATCCGGTACGTCTTGCTGTCAGGTCCGTAACCGCAGAGCTTGCCTTCAAAGGCCCGATCGTCTAGCTTCTTCTTGTATCGCTCGTGATGAACGTACGCGCGGGCGCCGATGGCACGAAGTCGAGAAAGGTCCGGAGTTGTGTTGTACATCTTGGAATACGGCGTGGCTCCCCCTAGCGCCGCGTGTGCGATCCTGTTGGTCAGATATGCTGTAGTCATCATGAGCTCCCCCCACATGTGTTTTGGGAAGTCTCCATCGCGCAGTAGAGCTCGAGTCACAGCCGCAAGTGTCTGGCCATCCCTTTCTGACACTCCGATTTCTTGGGGCGTGTTGGTCGCGGCGAATTCCAGCTTGATCGCAGACTCCCTACAGTAGTTGCGCATTTCTTCCCCAGGGTTCTCTCCCCCTTTGTCACAGCGTAGAACCTCGATGCTGTAGCCTTCAGATGCAACTTGCATGTTGTAGGCGTGCAGAGCTTGCGTGGTTTCGGTCCTGTCGCGCAGTAGATACACTTCCCGCATTCTGGTAAAGACGTCGGTCGTTTTTGCGACGTAGGAGTATGTGCGTCCGTTGTACTTCGCAGGCGGGTCGATTGGTCCCATGTTGTCGAACTGGACGAGTTGGCCTGGTTTGGTCAGGACACGGCTGGTCTTCTTCCGGACGGGAGCCTTCTTGTGCTTCGTGACGTGGCAGTTGTCGCACGGGGATACAGATCCGTCATATTTCACACCTGTAGCGGGGTAGCGCCGCAAAATCTCCATAGCACTTGGATTGATGTGGCCGAGGCGCCGGTGCCAGAGGTCGGCGCTCACGCTCATCGCCACTGAGATTGTCGCGTGCGGAGTGTGATCGATCTGTACCGCTTCTGGTTTTCCGAACTTCGGCTTGCGCCCTGGTTCTTGGTTGTTCGGGGGTGTCTTGCTTGTCGACGCTGGATCGCCCTTGAATGTGATGGCGAGGGTGCACATGCCTTGGTCTTGAGTCTGTTGTTTCAGAGGACCGACGACTTCTCCGCCAATGGTGATGTAAGATATACTCGCAGCAGTCTCTAGACGTGAGTATCCTCGGGGATACGTGTTGAGAATTTCGTATGTTGATGGGTACCACCGATGCAGATACGGGGACCCTTTTGGCCTTGGTTGCGGTGTTGAAGGCTCGCGCATCTAGCGCACTGCTTTCGCTCTCTCCACCGCTACCGCCGTCTCTCTCCAATCAAGTTTCCTTCTCCAACGCTTTCTCCAACGCCAACGCAATCTCAATCTCTACCTCTCTCTCTCGGCCTAACACGGCCGACTACCCACTGCCCCAACAGACGCCCAACAC